TCATTTCTCGCTGATCTTGAGCTTCCCACCGAGACAATGTTTTCTTGATTAGAACCAGTATACATTTTTTAAAAGTAATCCCAGGTCGTACAGAAATTGTTATCTTGAATTAATACTAATAAAAGGACAAAGTCTTGAGGCATAAATCAATCCCGTCTGAGGGATGTGCCCATGTAATCAAGATCCAGACAGAGCCGTAGCGGCTGCTTGAAGAGATCGGTGCGGGATCCGACCCGTGCCCATGCGCGAGACATAGTGCGCCACTTGCCACTACACCACCTCCCCCCAAGTATTAATAATAGCAGCCAGTAATGCTGCTATTTAGTAGTATTAACAGATAATGGCTTAAAATTACTTCAAGTATGACTCCGCTTTGTCTACACTCAGGGTGGGTGCCAGTAGTCAAGGGTGACGGTTTCTGAGTTTCAAGACATCCATTCCCCAGTGAGACTCTCGATACTTCTCTTTGAATTGCAAGAGATATACAGCAGGAAAGTGCTGAAACAATATAGGCAGAGAACTGAGCTGAAATCAAAAATTCAATATAACTCATTTATAATAATTATAAGGTCATCACTCTCCTCAACTCATAATCCTATTTTGTACTTCGTGTTCCTTAACATTGCTCGGGAACTTTCGAAAATCATCATTTCAGGTGGCCAACTATGGACTTGGGGGTCATTATGATCCACATTTCGATTTTGCAAGAGTCAGTTTTACTTCGTAAAGCTTTTTAACTTCACCTTTTTTTACAGATAGCCAATTATGGCATCGGTGGTCATTATGCTCCTCATTTTGATATGTCAACGGTAAGCGATGTGGTTGTGCATGCTCTTGAAACCCTTGAATGCAATGACAGCAGTTTGCTCCCTAATTTACAGTTTTTTTGTGCGAAAGTCTTTAACTCTCTTCAACTCCGTGATTCAAAAGGCGTTCTTCACTCCCATCTTAACGAGTTTGGGTTAATTTTTGACTAGGAATGACGCTGATCAGGTTTTTCATCGTACAGTGCACCTGAACTCAGAGCCCTCATTGAAGAAATTAGTCACCGCCATGTAGATGGCCATTTGAGTACTCAATAGCTAATTCTTACATGGACATATGTTTCGGTTTGATTGAATACCTTAATTGAATTGGTTGATTGAAGTAGCTAGGCCATCTCTAACGTAATGTTTGTCGTTCACTAATACACTCCTGCGCTGTGATCGTTTATTCGTACTGATGGTAAGCTCCTGAATGAGGACCGTTTTAGAGAGGCGAAAAGGAACCCTATCGAGAGAATGGCAATCGCATCGCTACCGTGTTGTTTTATGTAAGTGTCTCAAACTTTTCAACTTTTTTTTGTAGAAGGAGGAAAAGAACGCCTTCAAGACTCTCAACACTGGCAATAGACTTGCGACCGTCCTGTATTACGTGAGCTAAATCCATTTTCCATATTTTATCATCTCATATCAAGTTCCCATCCATTTCTTTGGATACGAAAACCTCGTTCTACGAAGCTGTATTGGGCTGGCTCCCCTTTTTTCTGTTTGGGTACAGCTCGGGGAATCACTTCAGGACCATTTGTTTATGGGCTGATCGGCCAAGCAGTAGTTCTTC